ACTGGTGTGACAAATGCACAAATGCCAAAGTAAATTAAAAATACTATAAAATTGAGAAGGGTAGCAGTATGGTTAATAATAATCCTTGCATTTGATATAGTGCCCTATCATGTCTTCGAGATGTTTCAAAGCGAATCACAGTGTTGTAAAGTGTAGTGACTGTGTGTTTTGTGGGAGAAATGTGGCAGCCAATTGCATACAGTAGTGTCCCATAAACATTCTAGATGGACTGACCAAATTATTATTTGAAGCCAGGTCCTCTCACTTACTAGGAGAGCGCTCTAACCACTAAGCTGCAGGATTCCATGTGTTTCATTCCCCCCCCCACCCATCCCAAACACACTGCTTCTGGCGCCACCCACTCCCACACTTGGCTGCTCCAACATCACTCCTCCCCCCACATTCAAAACACTGAGCCTGGACTCACAATGACTATCGCACTCTCCTTCCCCATCATGTATCCCACCCCCTGGTCCGCTCCTAGTCTCGTCTTGCACATTTTGACTGCTGCCACCTACCCGAGCTGCTTCTCCCAAAAGTGCTCCCACCCCTGTCCCCCATCCTCCACTACTCCCGTGCAACCCTTCTCTCTCACCGCCCTCCCCGCTTCCCATCTCCAGCCTGCAAAACCTCGGTCACACCCACCGTGGCAGACGCCACTTGCTGTCCAACAGCAGCCACTCTGACTGCCCCATTCCCCCACCTCTGGCGCAAAGCCCATTGGTCCTTGACCTCGGGGGTCAACCTCTCATCGCTTATCCACATCCCAATCCTCCCTGTCAATCCTCCCCCTCCCTCCCTCATTTCACCCATTCCTCCACCAGCAGCTGTCTCCTCCATATCCCAAATGTCTGCTCCCTCTCCAGCAAAACGCTCACCATCCAAGACCTCATTGTCGATGAAAATATCCACATCCTCACCCTCACCGAAACCTGGGTCACCCCAGGTGATACCTTCCCCCTGACTGAGGCCACACCACCCGGCTACACCTTCCATCATACCCCACAACCTAACCACCATGGTGGTGGTGTGGCTCTCACCTTCCGGCCTATCGCCTTACACTTCCAGAATCTTCCCCTCCTTCGAGCACTTTACCCTCTACCATCCCTCCAAACTTTTCCGCTGAATCCTCCTGGTCTATGGTACCCCCAAACCTTCCCCCACCTTCCTCTCAGACATCTCCACCCTCTTATCTTCCCTCTCCCTCTGCTCCAAATGCCATCTCATCCTAGGCGACTTCAACCTGCACTTCTCCCCCTCCTGCTCTATCTCTGCTGACTTTTTCTCTCTCCTCTCAAAACCTCTCCTTCCACATCCACTCCACCAGCCACAAGCATGGCGACTCGCTTGACCTACTGATTACCCGGGGACTCAGTGTCTCAGACCTCAACATCACCTGCAAAGCCATCTCGGACCATTGCTTCATCTCCCTTAACGCCCTCTCCCCACCGCCACACAACCCACCACCATGTCCTACCACCCCACTCTCATTACCACCATAACTCACATGAAACCAACCACCTGCTCCCTCGACTCCATCCCTACCCCTCTCCTTACTTCCCAGCTCCACCTCCTTGGCCCCCTAGTCAAAGACATAATAAACCTCTTCGTGTCCACTGGCACCATTCCCACCCCTCTAAAGATGGCCTTCATCACAGTAATATCCTTAAAAAAATCTCCCTGGACCCATTCCTGTTCTCACACTACTGCCCCATCTCCAAGTCCCTTTCCTAGGTCCTGGAATGAGTCGTTACTTCCCAGCTTCCAGAGACCTTCCTCTCCCGCCATTCCCTTCAAGAACCCAACTGTCTAATCAAGTTGCAGTGCCGCCCACAGCTCAAAAACAGCTTTGGTCAAAGTGACAAATGATAATTTGTCCATCTGCGACCAGGGCTCCCTCTGCCTCCTTATCCTCCTTGACCTCTCTGCTGCCTTTGATACAGTTGACCACTCTATCCTCCTCAACTGCCTCTCCTCAACCTTCATGGTTCTGTCCTTGAATGGTTCAGGTCCTACCTCTCACACCATCTCCATTTCATCTCCACATACGGCTTCTCCTCTAGTCCCCGCACCGTACAGAGTTCCTCAGGGCTCTGTCCTTGGTCCGCTCCTTTTTAATATCTACATGCTCCCTCTTGGTGATATCATCTGCAGGTCAATTTCCACATGTGCCTCCACCCTTGACTCCAGGAACAGATTGTCTGTCAGACATCAAGTCTTGAATGAGAGCTAATTTTCTACAGTTGAACGTCAACAAGACCGAAGCCCTCCGGATTGGCTCCCGTCAGTGCCTCCACACCTCAGGCACTGACAGCATCATCATCCAAGGATGTACACTCCACCTTACTAAGCTGTCCGGAACCTTGGCATCTTGTTTGACCCTCAACTGTCCTTTCTACCCGACATCCATGACATGTCTCGCTCTGCCTTCCCCCACCTCCGCAACATTCCCCGGCTCTGCCACTGTCTCACACCGCAGGCCACTGAGACCCTCATACGCGCATTCATAACCTCCAGGCTCAACTACGCAAACTCCCTGCTTGTCGGCTTCCCCAACTCCTCCCTCCATAGGCTGCAGATCATCCAGAACTCTGCAGCCTGTGTCCTCTCCCCCACCAGCCTCCCTGACCCTATCACCCCCATCCTCGCCCGACTCCACTGGCTTCCCATCACACAGAGGACACAGTTCAAGATCCTGGTCCTCACCTTCAAAGCCCACCATGGCTTTGCTCCCACCTACCTCTGCGACCTCCTAACCCCCACCAACCTGCCCATTCCCTCCGCTCAGCAGGCTCCGTCCTGCTTCACATCCCCCTCCTCTCCCATCCCACCACTGGGGGAACGGACCCTCTGCCTCTCTGCTCCTACCCTCTGGAACTCCATCCTGCAGTCCCTCCGCCTTGTCCTCTCCCTTGCCTCTTTCAAGACCCGACTCAAGACCCTCCTCTTCGACCGTGCCTTCGTTACCCTCCTCTCCCCTCTGCCCTCCACCCTCCCCGATCCCAACCCCCAGCTCGGGTCCGAAGCGCCTTGGGACGTCCTCGCGATGCGAAAGGCGCCATAAAATGTCATTTTATTGTTGTTGTTGTCGTTTGTCAAGACCTTCCTACTCTCTCTAATTAAGTTCAAGTTTAAATGATGAACTTAATACTCAAAAAAAAAGTCCCAAAGTTAGAATTTCCAGACACCCAAACAATGCAACTATTCTGACCACAGGCAGTGTTTTTTTTTCCGTGAATTAGTTCGGAATGCTTTGCGGTAATGAGCTTCCAGAAACTGGCCGGTTTCCAAGGGCACTGGAGAAATGAAATCCACACGCAAAGCAACTCAATGAAACAAGGCAGCAAGACACGCTCTCAGGCTCCCTCCCAGGTCCCACAGCAATGGCCTGCACCTGAACTGCAAAGAGCTTGGGGAGGCAGGGAGGGGGATAGAGAGGGAGGGAGGGAGGGGGGGGGAAAGAGAGGGAGGGAAGGGGAAAGAGAGGGAGGGAGGGGGAGGGGGAAAGAGAGGGAGGGAGGGAGGGAGGGGGAGGGGGAAAGAGAGGGAGGGAGGGAGGGAGGGGGAAAGAGAGGGAGGGAGGGAGGGAGGGGGAAAGAGAGGGAGGGAGGGAGGGAGGGAGGGGAAAGAGAGGGAGGGAGGGGGAAAGAGAGGGAGGGAGGGAGGGAGGGGGAAAGAGAGGGAGGGAGGGGGAAAGAGAGGGAGGGAGGGAGGGGGAAAGAGGGGAGGGAGGGAGGGAGGGAGGGGGAAAGAGAGGGAGGGAGGGAGGAGGGAGGGGGAAAGAGAGAGAGGGAGGGAGGGGGAAAGAGAGAGAGGGAGGGAGGGGGAAAGAGAGAGAGGGAGGGAGGGAGGGAGAAAGAGAGGGAGGGAGGGAGGGGGAAAGAGAGGAGGAAAGAGAGGGAGGGAGGGGGAAAGAGAGGGAGGGAGGGAGGGGGACAGAGAGGGAGGGAGGGAGGGGGGAAGAGAGGGAGGGGGAGGGTGGGAGGGATGGGGAGAGAGAGGGAGGGAGGGGGAGAGGGTGGGGGAGAGAGAGGGAGGGGGAAGGAGAGGGAGGGAGGGGGAAAGAGAGAGAGAGGGAGAGAGGGGGGAAGAGAGGGAGAGAGGGAGGGGGAAAGAGAGAGAGGGGGGGGGGGGGAGAAGGAGGAGGGGGGGGGGGGGGGGGAGAAAGGAGGGAGAGGGTCGACTCGCAAACTCTTGGGAGCTCGACCGCCCCCGAGTGCGGGTTAACTTCAAGAGAAACTTCAAAGTTTACGCAGGAGACAAGTTTGCCTGTGGTGGCGGTGGCGGTGGCGGGGGGTGTGGTTGGTTGGTTGGTTGGTGGGGGGTTTACCTGGAGTTTACCTGCGGACACGTGATCGCGCTCACTTGCATTCGCTCAGTTTAATATTTAGTTTTAAAAGAGATAGAGAGAGACAGAGACAGACAGACAGAGAGGGAGAGACAGACACAGAGAGAGGGAGAGAGACAGAGAGGGAGACAGACAGACACACACAGAGAGAGAGGGAGAGAAACAGACAGAGGGAGGGAGAGACAGACAGAGAGAGGGAGAGAGACAGAGAGAGGGAGAGACAGAGGGAGAGACAGACAGAGAGAGAGAGAGGGAGACAGACAGAGAGGGAGACAGACAGACAGAGAGAGACAGAGAGGGAGACAGACAGAGAGAGAGAGGGGGAGACAGACAGAGAGGGAGACAGACAGAGAGGGAGACAGACAGAGAGGGAGACAGACAGAGAGGGAGACAGACAGACAGAGAGAGGGAGACAGACAGAGAGAGGGAGGGAGACAGACAGAGAGGGAGGGAGACAGACAGAGAGAGGGAGAGAGGGAGACAGACAGAGAGAGAGAGGGGGAGACAGACAGAGAGAGGGAGACAGACGGACAGAGAGAGGGAGACAGACAGAGAGAGGGAGACAGACAGACAGACAGAGACTTGTTGACCACGCTCGGCTTTTCCTCTGGCAGGTCTGCCCCCCCCCCCCCCCCCCCTCCCCAGTCTGGCCATGGACCCCCCGGGCGAGGACGTGGCGGTGTGGGTCTGCCGGGAGGAGAAGGTGGTCCGCGGGGTGACCCGGCGCACCAGCTGCGCTCAGGTGGTGGAGGCGCTGCTGGAGGACCACCGGTCCCGGGCGGGGGCCGCCGGGCCGCCGCTCGGCTCGGCCAAGGACTACCGGGTGGCCGAGAGGTGGCGGGGGGTCGAGCGGCTGCTGCCCCCGCACGCCAGGCTCCTGAGGCTCCGGCCACGTCGGGGCGAGGAGCGAGCCGACCCGAGCTTCGCGCTGGTCAAGCCGGACCCCCCGCCCGCCCCCGCCGCCCCCGCCGGGCACAGGGCAGCCGAGGCCAAAGCGGCGCGCCCCAGGGCGAAGGCGGACGCCCGGCGGGAGCTGAGCCCGGTCCAGCGCACCCGCGCCCGACCGGCCGACAAGCAGCGGAGGATGGTCAGGAGGGCCTTCAGGAAACTGGCCACGATGAACCGGGTCCAGGGGGAGGGGGAGCGGGAGCGGGAGGGGAGGGGGGGGGGTGGAGGCGCTCGTCCGCCTGATCGCCTCCCAGGAGCGGACCCTCCGCCGCCAGGCGCAGAGGATGGGGGACCTGGACGCCGACATCGCGCGGCGCGAGGCTCGCGCGCACCGCGAGCGGGTCCGCAGCGCGGGGCGGGACCGCGTGCGGGAGACCGCTCTGCCGGAGCGCCCGAGCCGAGCGGAGCGCCACCGCGAACGGGCGGCGGAGGGGCTGTCGGCCGAGCAGCTGCAGGGCCACCCCGGGACAGGGGCCGAGGGGACCCCGGCGGCGGCGGCGGCGGCGGGGGCGGCGGCGGCGGAGAGCGCGCGCGTCCGGCGGCAGCTGGAGGAGAGCCGGCGCCGCGCGCTGCGGCTCCGCAGCGAACTGATGGACGTCCAGGAGCGCGTCCAGCGCTGCGAGTCGTTGCTGCGGGAGAGGGCCGACGAGTGCGACGGCTGCGCCGAGCGACTGAGATCGGGGCATCGGCCGGAAAGCGCCGAGAGTGGACCGGTCAGCGGCGGCGGTAAGGATTTCGGACTGTCCGGGACGGGCACGAAGCCTCAGCCTCAGCCTCCGCCTGGACACACCGCCCGCAGACTCCGTGCACCGCCGACCCGAACGACACCGACTCCGACACAGGGATCAGCTCCACCCACAGCCAGGATTCAGAAACGCCCTGTGTCGAGGTGCTTTCTGCGTAGTATTTTCTGGGCACCCACTTGAGGAGGGGTGGGCTGGGGAGGGGTGGGGGGGGTTGGGGGTGGTGGTGGGTGGGTGGGTGGGAGGGGGAAATTATTCTTCAAATGATTTGGTGTGTGCGCTTCGTTAATTGAAGCGATTCCCTCCCACTTGAATGCCTACGCGGACACGTCCGAAAGCGCCGCTTCCAGAGCCGGTGCGCGCGCACTCTCGAGCAGGTCCGCGCACAGAAAGCGTGCGACCAAGTAATCCGAGGAGAGGAGAGGAGAGATGAAGCACCTCGCGCTCGACTCGTTATTTATACACTGACAGAACAGGTGGATGATGATAATAATCGTTGCATTTGATACCGCGCTTTTCTCGTCGGGAGGACGTCCCAAAGCGCCTCACAGAACACACTGTAAAGTGAATTGACTGTATATATTTGTGGGCGAACGCGAACGCGGCAGCCAATTGCGCACAGCAATGTCCCACAAACAGTCGTAGATTGAAAATGACCAATTTATTATTGTTTTTGTTTTTTGGAGGGATTATTATTAGGCTCTGTGTGGAGTAAGGAAACTTGCCCAAGGTTTCGCCCTCTGCCTGGAATTGAACTCAGGTCTCTCACTTGCAAAGCGAGTGCTCTAACCACTGAGTTACAGGACTCCACAAAGGAGGTGATGGTGAGTTATAGCAAGTCAGCAAAACGAAACCCCACTAAGGCAGTTTATGGGGAATATGTTTAAATAGGTTTCCTTGGACTCAAAACATCTCGAGTTTTAAGATGACTGTATTTAAACCGATTTTAAATGATTAGGATTTAGGATCCCACACACCTGTTTTCGGAGTTTGTGAGCAAAATAGACTTATTCAGAAGAAAAAGTTTATTGCATTTTATTTTGCTTAAGGGTAACAAATGTCAGATCCAAGTTTATAAAGCGGTGCCTTCTAACTTCTACTTGTGTCTGACACAATAAAGAAGTTGTCTTTTGTAGTTGCACATTTATTTGTACAGATAAGACGCTGGCAGTTCAGATCAAGCTATCTGTGCTTGCTTAGAGTTATTATTAAGTAGTTCCATAAATCTATGTACAATGCCTTAAGTCTACAGCTCATTTCTCACAATGGGGCGTAATGCACAACAATTTCCTAAAGGATTCCATAAGTGAACATAGCATACTTCTGGTTATTGATTTCACCACTAATATCTCATATTAAAAAAACAGGGATTGGATCCCAGTAACTATATATTTAACCACAATGTGTGCATTTTCTCTGAAAAGAGCATTGAGATAATCACAATGCAGCAGAAAATTAACTTAGAAGCTATGTTTATGTTGGAAACAATAGTTAACTAAAAAGAAATTAAATCATTGAGTTTTTCCATTGGTTCGGTGCCAGTCATGAAGTGTAAGGAGTTCAACATGAATTTTGATGATTTGCATTTGTTGAAATGAAACTAGGATCATTAATCTGCATTTCAAGTGCACATTACATAGGATGCTATTCTACTTCCTCAGGTAGAAATTGACCATTTTCGAGTTATAAAAATAGCTTTAACAGATTGAAATATGAATTGCTACCACAAGGAGTAGTTGAGGCGAATAGCATGGATGCATTTAAGTGGAAGCTAGATAAGTACACAAGGGCACACTGGCCTGTTTCTGTGCTTGTAATTCTATGTAATTCTATGTAAGCTATCCAGGCACGTGAATTTCAGGGAAATAGAAAAAAGGAAAATCAGTAAAGGGTGTTGATAATATTTGTACCTGTTGTTATAAATCATGATGACATTTCAGGCCAGCCAAGGTGTGGCATTTACATTGAAAGAACATGGAGAATTTAATGACCTTTTTACATCAAATAAAATGTCCAGTTAATCTGACTCTGGTCATTTCATGACAGTGTAATTTGATCTTTGATATTAGCCAAATGCTCTTCTTGAAAACAAGATTAAAAACGTCACCTATCCCATGGCATAGTAATGGGCAGAAATCGTATACACAACAGGCTTCAATAGTATGTGCATTGTACTCTGTGAAATAGGGAGGCATTGTTACCTTAAGTGGAAATTTTATCCACTTCAATAATCTTACAAGCAACGAACAATAGCAAACCCACTAACCTCGAATGCACCGGTATGCGTTTGTTCCTCCACCTAAAGTGAATCTTGCACTTACAAGGCAGAATTCAATTCGTCTGTGAAATATGTGAGAGTGAGTTGGCCATCTTTTATATCATGTAATTTGAGTAGTAAACCATGGAGAGCACTTAAATTGGCTGTAGATTAAAGTTAAAAAGACCTGATATGTAAAAGTTCCAATTAATCTTAAAAACCTCCATGTCCGAGCAAACGTTCCCATGACATCCACTAAACAGATTACATTGTTGTAGGAATAGATTTTGCAACAAGTACTGTGCCAACAACAGGATAATAAAACCCAAAGGTCATGCACTTATTCATAGTGTATATTATTAAAGCTTCTGCTGGAGTGCTCTCGCATTACACCCATTTGAGGTAAACTGACTTTGTTCTAAAAGTTACTTATTTTTGTCTTGATACTCTGTTATTTTAAACAATATTTTGTCCCTTTCATGTATTTGTGATCAGTCTCTCAAGCTCCTTTTATCCAGTTTTTCCTTGTATCGATATTTTCAAATATTGTACACAGTAAAGCTAACTTTTTTCTCCCACTGTTCGTCCATTCATTGTTGTGAGATGCAAACATCATTAATTTTTATATATAGATATATAGGTTTATGTTCATTGTTTATGTCAGTTACATCTGTGCTACATTGCAAAACAGCAGCCAAGAAAACACGAGGGTTTCTGAAAGGTTTTCCTGAGCTTGGAGTCTTGGAGTTAAGAAAGGTGGTGGGGGGGAGAAAGGGGGGAGAGAGTGAGAGAGAGGAGTGAGGAGAATCTGTACAATAAAAATATGAAGCATTCCAGGAATGTACATAAAATGTCTGAACGTGTATCTCTCCATTTATCAGATGATGCATTATTATTTGATCTTATCTTGAAATTTGTCTCCTGATATTTGGGGAGCCATTATTTCCGCCAGCTACTACATTCCTGAAAAATCATGGTTTGGAATTTATTTACAAAATAAATGGACTTAAAATAATCAACTGATTTCCCAGCTACTCCAGTGCATTGTGTATCGATTTATTTATTTTTTGTTTTGCCTTTCTTTGCTCTGCCTCTTTGAAATGATTTTTTTGGAAACCCATCATCGTGGTTAAAAGTATCCAAATCAAATGTAGAGTTCCCTTCATTCCATCAACATGTTGACAGTTCTGTGTATTGGAATATAGGAATGAGGCCTAGTTAACCAGTTTCTCTCATCTTCATTCACTCTCTCCCTCTTTCTTTCCCCCACACTCTCTAACTTCTCCCCTTTTTTTATTACATGTAAATATGTTAAACAAAATTGTTTGAAAAGTGAATATTGGGGCATTTTAAAATCACAGTTCATTTTTATGGACCAGCCCATCCTTGTGTTACTTAAAAAGGGGTGTTACAGTGGGGTACGCCTGGCCACTTACACCCCAGCTCTCCTGAACATACCAATTCATGCTGAGACAGATGGGGCTCATCATCCCCTACCAATTTAGCCAAAGGGTCATGATTTGCAAACTTAAATAGTAGAGAGTCCCCTGTGTGAAGCTACCTGACGCTACCCTGTGTGAAGGGGGCTATATAAATGCAAGTTGTCGTCGTAGTAGTAAGGCAATTCAACCATGGACAGCATGAAAGCAAAGCCTGATCTTGTTCTCATTTAATCCCACACAAACACTTTCCAAGAGGGGTCACTGAAAAGGAATCAGGAAAGTAAAACTAGGCAGTGAAACCTCCCCCTTCCCTAACCAACGTCATTATATGTTTTTGGATTACAACTGATAACTTGGCTAAAACAAACACTTTGCACAGTCCAGACATTGATTGACCATCTGTTCAGATGGTATAATTCTGTATTGGAAAGTACATTTACCTTGTAATGAGCCTTCGTGTATTGATTAATACGTTCCCAGATGTGGGTGTGCTTTCATTGCCAAGCATGTGAAGCCTAGAAGCAAAAATAACCTGGAAAGAAGTGACTTGAATTTTTAGCCAGCTTTTTATGACCTTAATCATGGTGTTAAACAGAAGCTGGAGATAAGCTTTGGTTTACATTGGCTGTATCTGAATATTTTGTTGTCTTGGACATCGCTGAAAATGCAGTACTTTGTTATGTACAAAGTAGTTTGTCCAGCTGAGTTGCATTTGTTGTGTGAAATATTTCTTTAATGCTTACACCACAGAGCAAGTGGTATCATTTAACTTGTAATCAAACACTCATACTTTTTTAAAAAATGAACTCCTGCATCAGAGATAAATAAATATCTCCAGCAAAGGCCTGAACACAGGCATACACCATTCCAAATGGAACGACAGCATGCAAAAGATAGTATGCACAGGTAAGGCTAAACTGTACATCAGCAATTTGTTACCCTATCATTATCTCATGTAAATCTCAAATAAATATACAGTATTTGACATTCCAATGTGGAGGCACAGACATAATAAATTGCGTCACTCATCAGGTTGTGGTTTTGTCCAGTGAACTATTGTGTTTAAATTAAATATAAGCTTTTGTGCTGCTGGTTTTGATATAGCAGTCCACACTGTTTGATAAAATCCACAAAATCAATTCACAGAACTTTAAGCGAATAAAACAATAATCCTTATATTTGATAGAGTGTTTATAATGTTGAGAACATACTAAAGTGTTCACCCACAAAACACAGTCACTCCACTTTACAGTATATCCTGTGAAGCACTTTGGGATATCCTCCCAAAGGGAACAAATCTAATTTGTTTTCATAAAAAATATTATTTTTGTTATTATGTTGCATTGTTGAGCCTAAGTAGAGGGAACTTTATTTTGCATGTGACAATGCTATACCTGAGTGATTTGAAATAGAAATAGAAAACAACTGCATTACCCAGAAGTGACATCCTTTCACAAACACA